CTTTAGCCTCAAAGATCTTTAACTTCTCAACCAGGTCGGCGTGTTCCCACTTCAGGGTCGAGGCCTCCTTCTGAGCTTTTTCCAGCTCGGCCTGGAGAATCAGAAGGTCTTTGAGGGCCTCGTCCTGCTGCTCACTAAGAGCAATGTACATGTCCTTCTTTCGGACCTGCTCTTTGAGCTTGAACTCGAGATGGTTAATCTCCAAGCTGTACCGGAGGAATCTTTCATGATGAAACAATGAAGCCTAAAAAATAATGAAGTTAGTAGAGCATATCAAAAACCAAAGTGAGATTCATAAAAGGCTACAAAAGGTTGACGCCTTACCCGTATCAACGTTTGTTGCGCCTCGTTGAAGAGGCTCGACGTACCCACTTCGTTCATCTTTGCCTGATCCTCCTTGGTCACCAGGCATCAAACGTAGCTGGCTACACCCACTGGAGAAAATAGGACCCAGGAATCCTCCAGGATTGTAAGAACGACCGCTCTCTTGCGCTCGGGGTCCACGCTCGGAGCAGGAAATTGCTTCAATAGTTTTGGGCTTGAACTCGGCCTGCCCGCTCCCGATGTCACATCCTTCTTCGGGACCTCCAGGTGACCAAGCCCGGAAAAATCCTCCAGTGCTGCCATATCCATGCTATGGAAGAACGTGTTGAGGGCATCGTCTGGGCCCTGCGCCACCTCGCTTTACTTCTCTTTGCCCGCTTGGGCCTCTTCGAGCATGGACTCGGTACAGGAGGGTTTCTCCATGATAGCAATGACACCGGCTGCCTCATTCGGGACAGGAGCAGCTTCCCGAAGGGTGCAACCTCCGTATCTCCCTCTAGTTCCCGAGTTATAGGGGGATCGACCTCATGGTCCTCTTTCTCGGTTGTCACCTGCTCCCCCTTGCTAAAGGTCAACCCATGAGAAATAAAAGGTCGTCATCTTTGGTCTCGTCCCTGAGCCGGTAGAGGGAATCGAGGTTCGGCACCCTAGACTTGGTGCTTTTTTAGGCTTCCCGGCCCGGATGGTCACGTTCTTCTTTTTCGCCTTGGCGTTCGGGGAGCCCGAGGACTTCTTTTCTTCTTCTTCTCCTCCTCCTCCTTCGCGGCATCCCCGGGCTGCCCCAAAAATAGAGGGTTCGGCCAGTGAGGACGGATCCTCGTCCTCATCCAACGGCCTAAGTTCGGTGGTCTTAGGAAAACCTGTAAGAAAAGAGAAAGGATTAGCATTATGTAAGTTAAGAGCATGGTGGTAATTATTCAGGAAAGAACCTATCCATGAGAACGGGCCTCCCATTTTCCCTTTGAAAGCTTGTACCATGCACGCTCGGAGTACGACATCTGCTTGCAGATCCCCTCGATCCACTCTTTGAAGAGGGGAACTGCATTGGGAACTTGGGCAAGTGCTGCACGACGACAAACATAGGCCATGAGGGAAAGAACAAAAAGAAATGACAAATACTCGAGAAAGGAAAGTACTTATGAGATGCGTTCCACTTCTCGGGGAACGACAGGAACTCGGAAGGGATGGGGTCTTCGGTTTTCACCCCAATGAACCTCCCCTGCCATCCTTGATCTTGGTCCTCGTCGATGCTCGAGAACGGAGCCCTGCTTGCCGGCGGACGAGCTTGATCAGCCCCCCTCGGAAGATTCGGGAACTGTATAGGCAAAGTAGGTGGTCGAGGGTGAATCGAGGGGCTTCGGTATTGTTCACGAAATGGCGTAAGAGGATCACGATCCTCCAAAAGGACGGGTGGATTTGCCCAAGGCACACCTCGTACCTTTTGCAGAAAGCAAGAACTATGGGGTCTACCGGGGTGAGCGTGAAGGGGTAAGTGTAAACACTTAAATACCACTTCACATGAGTAGTGATGTCATCATTGGGCCCGAGAATGACCACATCCTTACCCTCCCATTTACAGTCCGCTCGGACTATGGGTAGGGCTTCTTCAGTAATGGAGCATATGTATCTCCATTCTCCCTTGCTTCGGTCCTGTTGACTAGAGGCCTTCTCGGCGTTGAAGTCGTTCCCGATAGAGCAGCCCCCAGGTATGAAGCTCTTTGTGGGGGGCTCCTAAGCCACTTCAGAAATGGCCACCTCGGTATCTGTGGCCGGGTGGGAAGATGAAGGAGTGGCCTGCTGAGGCACTGACTTGGAAATTTTTGCCATTGTAATCTAGGAAATATGAAGGTTTGAAGAAGAATATGAAAGTTTGAAGAAAAATATGAAGATTTGAGATGGTATGAAGGTATGAAGGTCTGGGCTGAGGGTTCAAAGAAAATGTATGAGGACTGAAGATGAAGGTATGAAGGTTCAAAGAGCAATGTATGAAGATTTGGAGAAGTTAAAAGCCGAGGGTAAAATCTAGAATCGGAAAGTGGAAGAAGTGAAAAAGGTCGAAGCTTTTATAGGGGAAAACAATCAATGTGTGATGTTTCGCATTCAAAGGCAGCCAGCTGGTGACTGACACGTATCCAAAGTTAGAAGGACGCGACTAATGAGACGTTTCCATTTACCCGTCATCTTGGTTGTAACGTACGAAGAAAGGAACCGGGGTTCATCTATCATTTTCCATCGTTTCGGTAAACCTACTCTCCGGAAAACGAGGGACTATCTATATACGGGTAAAATCGGGGGATAATGCCTACCCCGATTTCCCGGTGAAGAAAACAGAAGAAGGGCATGAACACACGAGATTGAAATCGAGGCTAGGAGCCCTTATCGAGATCCATGAAAGGTGAACGATGTGCTCATCATCGGGTATGATAAAGCGACGCGCCCTGAGCCCAGAACGAGTTCTAAGTCCTCGGGAAACATGGTAAACGGTTATACGCGACGGATAGAGCGTCGTGATATTCGCACCTAACCGGATATCACGGCGCAGATCTCGCTCGATGTCGGTTATGGATCAGTGATTAACAAGAAAGGAAGATTTTTACCTTTTTTAGGCTAATACTAGGGATGAAACTCTCCTACTATATAAAGAGGAAGTTTTTCTTTTGTATGACATATTGTAACACGCAAATCAAAGCAATACAAGTTTATTTTTCTTCCTTTTAGCTATTGCTAATGTTCTTATTTAATTCTTCTGTTCTTCATTCACAACTGCGCTCAAACCAAGGGTCCAATCGAGGACGAGGTCACCGTTCAATCTATGTTTCGCCTTGGCCATAACATTACAACTGGTTTGGTCGTTTATTTCATCTTTAACTTGTTTATCTAATATTCTTGATTATTTGTATTGAATCAAACTGCATATCCTTAAAATTGCGTACAAATTTAATTGTTATCCGATTTAGGACTAAACAAAGCTCAATATTAAGTTAAAGTATTTGACTCAAGTAGTTAAGAAAGAAAAAAAGAGAGTAATTTGAGTTGAGCTTTGTCCAATACTCTTAATGAAATGAAACGGTTACAAAAAATCATGTAACCAGTCGTACCTAATTTCCAACTGTAATGTACCTTGCTTGCCATTTTGGTGTAAGTAAGAAATCGATTGATTTCTCTGAGTAATTTATTAACTTACAAGCATCTTTATTAGAAAAAGAAAAATATAACATGTTACTAGAAAGGTACTCAATTCGTTTCAATTTATGTAACGCAACTCGACTCGATAAATATTTTAAAAAATTAAGTAAATTATTTCGAAACTTGTATCTAAATTATGCCCTAATTTTCACCCGACAATAAAAACCTTTTCATTAAGGCTATAATAATAGAAAGTTTTACGTTAAAATGATCTATTATATAAATGTGTCATTTTTTTAACAAGCTAATATATATTAACTGAATCAGAAGACGTACTATACTACTCACCAAGTAGGGAGAGCTTTTTTCTTTAATTAACCTTATAAGCTTGTTTGGATGGTCGTTACCTATTGTATCATATCGTATTATTACTTTAAATACGATATTTATTTTGGTTGTTATTTAAATTTTATTGTATCGTACCGTTAGATCCGTCGTTACGTAACGACGAAATATGCCACTTTATGTAACGACCTATTTGGTGTGGTTGCATCGTTATCTTGTCTTTTTCTCTCATCTCACCCTTCACTATTATTGAATTATTTTATTTTATCATTTACCCTACCTTTTTATATAATAAATTTACTCCATATCATAATTTTTTTTATAATATTACAAATTTATTCTTCATATTGCCGGTGCATGATATGAAACAACGGCAAACGATACAATCTATCCAAATCATCAAACTATACAATACAATACAATACAATACAATACATTATGAAACGATGTGTAACAACCATCCAAACAAGCTGTACGTGGCGCGAATTGTAATTACCGGATGAAAAAAAAAACACCATATTGAAACATGTTTAAAAAGCAAGGACCACATGGAAGACATGTGATCGATTCCCTTCGCTAGCAGCCTTCTGGGTCAGAGTTCGCCGTACCGACTTGCATAGTGCAATTTATACTCCTATGTAATTTATGAGCTATTACAAAGGGGAGAAATTCAAAAATAGCCAGGTTTACAAGTGGTCGTTGAAAAATAGCCCAGTTTCAAAAGTAATCGAAATCTAGCCACTTTTCATGTAAAGATAAATCTGAGCGAAAATACTGTTTAAAATCCGGAAAATACGCCAGTATATTATGCTGGAGTTCCAGCATAAGTATACTTGAACTCCAGCATATTATACTGGAAGTTCATACACAGGTGCACCGAACTCCAGTATATTATGCTGGACCGGTCTCTGTTGCAGCAAAATAGTGGCTATTTTTTATTGACTTGATAAACGCTGGCTATTTTTGAATGACCAGTCCGAAAACTAACTAGACTGTGCTATTTTTACGTTACAAAGTGAATAGATGACCCGTGCACACCCGAGAGTAAGCAGCTGCTAGTTTCCAAACATACTTAAAAAGCAAGGACCATAACCGCAAAATTACATAAAATTAATAAAAAACCCAAGCGTTAGCTTCTATAATACTCGAAAGCAGCATATATATGAACTACCACCATCCCCTCTTCTCTAACCCCCCCCCCTCCCCTTCCCCCCACCCGACCCTACACCTTACACCTCTTCGTATGCAGGTGTATGTATATGTGTATACATAGAACACCGTTAAGGGTTTCTTGTTTTTAATCAGAGTTGAGAATTTCACATTTCATCCAGTTATATTGTACGTAATGCTTTGAAATTTGCACATTTTGTATAATCAATCAATTTGTGGGAGAAAAATGGAGGAAGAATTGTTAAAGCGCAACACTGATTGTGTCTATTTCTTAGCCTCTCCCCTCACTTGCAAGAAGGTTTTTCCATATTTTCTCCTTTTTTTCATTTGCATTTCCTTCTAATTTCGCTTTTTTCAAATTTAAATTCGATATAACTTTATAGCAGCTTATTTATCATTCGTTCTAGGTTTCAATCAATGGTTATTATGTTGAATTACCCGCAACTACCTTTTACATGACCTAAGTGTGTAAATATTGGTTTAAACTCTAGATTAATATATTAATCTTTGTTTCTAGCAAACACTAACGTATGAAATGGAAATGTGTGTGTGTGTGTATTCTGTGCGTTTATGGGTCTTTATACACTGGTGGATGTATCTTTTGTCATGATTATGTTGCGTTGGTTTCTTGGATTTTCTTTTACATTTGAATTTTAAGTGTTTAAGTGGTGAGTTTATGCAAGGGAAATTCAATGGGTTGAAGATGTGTGTGTTATGTTAACATTTTCTAGCAAATTGAGTCGGTGATCGTGAGTTCAGTCAGCTGTCTACATTTAGTTTGCTCTATTGGCGCATTTTCTTTGTTTAAGTTATTATTGTCTTTAATTGTGTTTTAATTTATAACTTTAGCTTTTTAGTTTAAGTCTAATTATGGTTTAGAGATGATGGGATCACAATAATCAGAGTAGTAGTTCTCAATACCATGAACATTTGCCATTGTTGTTTTTTGTTACCTGTGCATTCTTGACTCATGACATGAATATCTTTGTTTCGTGTGCGTTGTTGGCTCATTATTTCAAGTGTTGTATCTGAGAATCTGGGTTTTGTTGATATGGATTCTTTTTACCAGGGAATAGAATGTGAATATCGACATAGTGAGATAGCTAGGCTCAACCCCAGGGATTGTTGGTACTGGCTGGCAGGAAGCTGTCTTAATCCAACATGCGCTTTTCGGCATCCGGTAAGCACGAAGCTGACATGCCTTGAAATTGATATCTTTGCTTTGTGACATATTATTACTGCGAACATGCAACAAAATAAACTATGCTTTTGTTTTGGTTTGAATATTTCTCCCAGCTTAAAATAGTGTGTTGAGCTCGGATGACTTTTATCTATTTCCTCTTTCAAAATTTAAGAATATTAGTGTTAGTCTATCGCGCAGGACAATTACACTTTGTTTACGGTCTACCTAAGTTCCAGGATGGTAGAGCAATCACGATCTAAAAAGTAGGCTACCACAGTTAGATGTAGAGAAAGCTTTACATATATGCTTGATATTGTGTTGTTTGATGGTGTAAAAGAAATCATTTTGAAAGCAAATATCCAACTCTAGACATATCGACGTCATATTTTTATTTTAAGAGTTAGTTAGAGTAAATTATTTCCGAATAAAAGATATATGAAGTAGACGATTAAACTAGTAAAGAATTCAAGAGATGTTGGTGCAATTAAACCTTTAGATAATTGCACTAGGCATTTTGTCAGTTAGGTGATTTGGGTATTTTAAGGACTCTGAGGTTTCAAATATCTTGTTGTTCCTAAAGAATGTTGCAATGTACTCTTCTCATGAAAGACTGGGAAAACGAGATATCTCCCTATTGAAGAAGCACATTTCCTATCATCAGTAGTCAAGAAATACAGATCTCCGCTAAAATTACTGGCTCCTCAAGACCTGTGTCTAAGACAACGAGATGCCATCAGGAGTCAAGAAATATAGATCTCCACTAAAAGTTACTGGCTCCTCAAATACCTATGTCTGCCAAATCCATGGCGAACTATTTGGGGGGAATTTAACAAGCTTAGAGCTCAAGATCCGGATTTGTTTTTGGGAAGAGTATAGTGCAACATTTTATAGGAGCAACACGATGTTTGAAACCTCAAGAGTCATTGAAGTGCTAACTGACTAGAAAACCAGTGCAACTATCTAAAGGTTTAAGTGTTCACCAACATCTCTTGTATTCTTTACTTGTTCTGACTCATCATTTCATGTTCTAGGAACCATATATCCAACTATATCTTAAAATAAATGACGTTGATATATCTAGAGTTGGACATTCTCTTTCAATATGATTTCCTGCACACCGTCAAACATCACTCTTATCAAGTATATCTGTACACAGTCAAACATCACTCTATCAAGTATATCTATAAAGCTACCTCAGCAAACTTAATTTACCACTGTACTTACATCCAACTGAGGTAGCCTATTTCGTTTGGTATCCTTTCTACTTATCCTCCCCGCGCACTCCCTTATTTCATGTTCCTTCCCCTTCCCATGGTGTGGTGGCCCAAAAAATTCCCTATTGCAGGAGTGGTCGAATTGAGGGAGATGTTTAAATCTTTCAAATGGAAATCAATATTTCCTTTTCATTTATTGGTTTTATGTAAGTATCTTGAAACTGACATTACTTAGAAAAAGAACAGCAAACGCTCATCACAAATTTCCATCTATGATTTTCTTATGTGAAGTTCTCGAAACCTACCAACAGAATTCGGCAAAAACCTGCGTAAGATCTAGCAAAGTGGATTCAAGTACTTTAAGATACAAAAAACTGCAACATGATCAGTGCCGAAGCATATTTTTAACTCCTAGAAATTCTCTCTTTGAAGAAACTCTGGTTCTGTTCCCTCATTTCCCTGAACCTTAATGCCTTATTGACGGATTTAAAGGAAATATTGCAGGATTGGTCGAATTGAGGGAGATGTTTAAATCTTCTTGTTACTCTGACAAAATGACTTCATCGTTCTCAAGCCACAGGAGAATTCAGTAATCTACTTCACTTCTAATAAGTGGTTTATAAATATGAACACTAACATAGAACATTCTTTCTCCTTTTGATTGTCACTTGGCTGTAAGATTTTGACGTTCAATTATGCCAGAAATTAATGATACCAATTCTGTATGCATATACAAGGAGCTAAGATGTGCTCATATGAATTCTTCTGGTAGAACAGAAAAGAGGCTTTTGGGGTATAAATGAGATTAATGAGGAGGGATAGCTTAGTTGAAACTAATCCTCTTATCCCACCAACTAAGAGTCTTGTAAAAAAAGCTTCTACGTAGGGAGAGCAACTATAATAGAAAGAAAACCGCAGAATTCAGGAGCACCCACCTCCAACCATGAGGTTGGGGATTCGAGTCATTAAGGGAGCAAAATGGATAAAGGTTGGTGTTAGGCAGACCGGTTTGGGAGCTGGATTTACCATACCCCCCAAAAAAAAACGAAAAAGTGCCTAGTCTGAAGGTTTTCGCGTCTGATTTCTCGTTTGGTTGATCATTGCTTTGTATGACTTAATTGGTTACTTTAGTACCTAGCTAACAGAAAATTAGATTTTGTGATCTTTCATGTCCTTGTTTCTGACCTGTCTAAAATTGCTTCTTGAACTTGTTATATTTTATTCTTTGATTGTGTTAATATTTTCCTGTTCATTTCCTCAGCCATTAGAGAGCCGTGCTGAGACGTCATCTGAATCTGCTCCTCCTCACAATAAATCTGCAGTGCCTGTTAACAAGACAAATGTTCCCTGTTACTTCTATTTCAATAGCTATTGCAATAAAGGTGAAAGATGTTCATTTTTGCATGGACCTGATGACAGTACAACTGCATGGAAATCCTCGATAATAGTGTCTGGAGTCCCTGATGGACCAACAGCTGAGAAAAAGACATCTGCAGGAAGTGAAACTGGTCCTGCATCAGTGGAGAAGCCCTCTAATTCTTCTGAAACTGGGTCCAAGGCAGCAGCACGTGAATATATCAAGTCAAAAGTGGATCTCCATTTGATGACTAATGATGTAGGTGAGCAGATTGCTTCTTATGAGACTTCAGGATCTCCTTCTGAAGAAGCTACTGCAGTAAGGTTAGATTCCTTAGTACCTGCTGAAGGCTTTACCCAAGGAGGATCCGATTTGTCCCCAGACCGGAGCTCAGACGAAGAAGTGGAGGACAATGTGGAGAGAGAGGAGTGGTTGGAATCATCTCCTGGTTTTGATGTTCTTGTTGATGATAGAATAGAAGGTTTGAGTCACGAAGATGATCATAGTTACCTACTGCAGCATGATATGGAAGACAGGGAGTTTGACGAGCGGTTTGCTGGATTTGATTTTGAGAACAACCTTGAGTATGATCCTGCATATCCAGACATGAGAATTGTGTCTGAAGAACTAGACGATTCTTATTATGATAATGTTGAGAATCATGAAATAAATGAATATGTCAGAGAAATCGTTGTCCCTGCTCATGGAAGACACAGTGTACCACATAAAAGAAAGTTGCCTAGAGAACTGGCTTATCGTGGCGGAGGCAATGTGGACCTTCGGGACCTTCTGAAGAAGCGTCGAGTCATTGAAAGTGATCCTCCAAATTACTTGTCCAGAAGGTTAGACCTGTCTAGGTTGAATGCTCGTGAGCAACGCAGGGATAGGCATCGGCCACAAGGTTCTCGGTGGATGCCTCATAGACTAGCTTCAAAAGTGGAGACTAATGCTTCTTTCTCCTCCTTTGAGGATGACACTGTACTTGAAAGTTCCAATCATCTGAAAAAGTTGAGACAATCTCAAGGAAGCAGTTACAGACATCAGCATTTCAAGGACAGGAGACGGGGCAGGTCCCGGCCTTTTGCAAATGAAGCCCCTAGGAGGATGGCTTCTAGGCAGAGATTGACTGAAGTTCCTAAGATCTTTGGTGGACCAAAGACACTAGCTCAAATTAGAGCAGAAAAGAGAAAAGGAAGAGAAGATGGAAATTCTTTTGAGAGGATTGTGCCATCTGGAGGAAGTGAAAGAGAAGATTTTTCAGGTCCAAAACCTCTGAGTGAAATTCTCAAAGTCAAAAGAAGGCTGGATTCAGTAGTGACCTCAAACAATTAGTAGAGTTTTAAGGGCTTGATGAAACATGTCTGATAGGATATCAGTAGGATAATATGAAAACTTAGTTCTGAAAAAGCTTTTACTGTAGCTTGGTTCAAGGTTTTGTTTTGACAGTGTTAAATGGAAGTGAAAATGGTGTAAATCTTTTTGGAGGTACTTGAAACTTACAAGATTTTGAAACAACCAAGTCAATGGATAAGTCATAAGTATTTGCTAGAAATTGTTGCAGTGGAGTAGCATAGGCAGATGGAATATAGCCTTTTAGTATGATAATGTTTACGCATTAATTCATTCTAAACTAAAAGTTTCAGATTCGAGCCCTGGAAATGGAGTTTCTTTTAGTAGAGAGTGTTTTACTCCCAAAGACTTTCTGTGTTGGGTCCAAGACGGGTACCGGATATCGGGTAGGAAATCAAGAAAAGATCAATTCATTTTTTACTTTAGTTATTAATTCATTGGAAAATCTTATATTTTTCAATTAGTTACTCGACATATTAATACTTCAGATTAAATCATCATACAGTAGTAACCTCATTAACTTCTAACTCATTACCTAAACGTGGATAAAAACAAATAGCAAGAGGGAAACATAACATAATATTTTAGACTTTCCCAAATAATCAAATCAATCACAAAGAAATAATCTGGAAGATTTAAATTTAAAAGTCACCGTATTTGCTAGTGACATTTTCTTACTCATATTTTTTTTTTCATGAAAATTTTGAAAACAAATTTTCTATTCAAAGATGGCTGCTACTTTAATATAATTCTGACTGTCGTCCATATTTGTGCTTCCTTACTACCTTCATATCCAACCTACTTGTCGGATTGAAATTACAAGTCTTATATCAGATTATCTCGGGTTCGAGTCTTGGGTATGGATTCGTCTTTATTAGAGAACGGATTATTCTCAAATGCTGGATCACAATACGTATACCAGACACCGAGTCAGAAAAAAAATCGAATTATCTAATTTAATGATATATATACTGTCAATCCATATGACTTCAAAAATAGTTTCACTAATTTCAAAGGGCAAACAAGTAATTTCAAACACCAGCTACAAAATGGAATATCATTAATTTTATGATCACATCATTGTCCAACTAATCTTTTCATATCTTATAATTTCTTTTAGTATATCAAGATTGAACAAATCCTTTTGACTCAAACTCACCTTGATATCTTCAAATCAAGAATTCCCCTTATTAGATCAAGAAGAAGAACAAGAATAAAGTGTCATGGCTTCAACTACAGGAGAAATATTGCCAAGGTCAGAAATATCATTTAGAAGACAAGGTTCATCAGGTTTAATATGGGATGATAAATTATTATCTGGAGAACTCAACAAAATTTCAACTCATGATCATCCTCAAGAACAACACAAGAAAGAACAAAAATCTTCATCATCGTCAGAACCAAAACCTCGTATTAGTTATCGCTCTAAAGATAACTACATGGAACCGTCCATAGATCCTCCATCTCCTAAGGTTTCTGGTTGTGGTGTTTGTGGCATATTTGGTAAGCCTGTTAAATCTATAAAACCACGTAAATTTGTTCAACGTAAGTCTTAGTGTGTAGTGAAATTGACCTCTATGCTTATATTTCTCTGTGTTTTCTTGTGGTTTTGTACTATGTTTCTTCCTCAGACATGATATGGAATCTATTTTTTTTTGTTTGTAAGATGAGACTTTTATTACCCTTTTTTATGTAGTCTTTTTCAATATTTACAGTAGTCTTTTGTACGTAGTCTTGAGCCGAGGGTCTATCGGAAACAGTTTTTTTACTTTTATCAGGTAGGAGCAAGATCTGCATAGATACTACCCTCCTGGACCCCACTTGTGGGATTACACCGGGTTTGTTGTTGTTATTGTTACAATGTTAGATGGGAAGGGGAGACTTGGAGCGACGGTAAAGTTGTCTCCGTGTGACATATAGGTCACGGGTACGAGCTGTAGAAGCAACCACTAATGCTGTCTACATCATATCAGGTAGGCTGTCTATATCACATCCTCTTGAGATGTGGCCCTACCCCGGACCCTGCGTGAACGCGGCTTGTGCACTGTGCTGCCCTTTGTTACAATGTTAGATGGGAATTTGGAGCAATGGTAAAGTTGTCTCCGTGTGACCTATAGATCACGGGTTCTAGCCGTGGAAGTAGCCACTAATGCTTGCACTAGGGTAGGCTATCTACATCACATCCTCTTAAAATACGGCCTTCCCTGAACCCTGCGAAAATGCAGAATAACTTATGCATCGAGCTGCCCTTTGTTACAGTTGTTATATGGGTAAAAGGTAAATAGAAGATGTATCTTTTCTTCTTTTGTTTCTCTTAGGTATAGGTTTTTGCTCATAAGATCATTTCTCTCTGGACGATAGAACCACAAAACAATTATCTGTATGCACCTATGTTCACACTATTATATATTAACTAATCATGATTAGTGACAAAATATGTGACAACTTTATTATTAACCATGGTTAACTTAAAAGTGCGAACCTATGTTATGCATTCATAGGTTTAGTTAGTGTAAATTAATATTGGATGTGTGTAAGTTTTAACTTTAGATCTATTTGTTGTATTGCTATATACTTCTTTTCTTGTATGAAAATGTTTTTTAAATGTATAGAGAAAGAAGTTTAAATTTTCAAAATAGAAATATTTCTCTAATTTAGATGAAAGTGAAGCTTGGCTGCAACGTTTTAAATTGCCGCGTTGTGACTAGATCGAATGTCACAAGTTTAAGCCGTAAAAATATTCTTACAGAAATACTAGCTAAGATTACGTATAACTGTTTTCAATATAGTCCGATCCTTCACCCAAATCC